TCTTTGAAGAGAGTAACAAGGAATTTCAGAAGAGCTACGATGCGAGTCAATTGTTGTCAGATTAGTAACGTGCTTACCTACGATAAATTTCCAACATCGAAACGTTTAACCAAGTATTTTCCTAATGCAAACATATCTACTCAACGCTACAGTACGGAAATATAACAACACAAGAGCAATGAACGCGTAGCATGAGTCGAACATTTGACTGGAAAAGAGAAGAACGTCTATTTGATTTTGTTATTCATTTGGAGACACAATTGTGTAATACAAGTAACGCTCATCCTATGGATTCGCCGACCCTTTTCTGAAAGAATTGTTGTACTGCTGAATATATTCAGACACATTGAAAAACAAATAGGGCACTACGGTTATTACTGAATTTCAGCTAGACCATGGCATCGTGTCCCGCACGAGAATTAATACAAGACAAACATTCTTCTTTTTTCATGAACCGAACAAGTACTAGCTATGTTTACTAAAAACTCCATCACTTAATGGTTAGTCATTCGTAGGCCTCCTCCCCTGGCCAGTCACTCACGGCTACGAGTAGCTGCCTAATTCGACTTATAATATAAGTGCTCGATTCCTATAGCCATCTAATCCTTTCCTAGGAATAGATTTACTTATACCTATAGTCTGCCACCCATGTTACTTTAGGAATAGATTTAGTTCTATCTATACATACACCCACACCCTCACACACCCTTCTGTAAAATTCGCCTGTTGTACATAGACAAATGCCAACATTTGATAAAGATGTGCGATTTCTTTGAAATTATTTGGTTGAGCTAAAAGAAGTAATTTGTTGAAAATTTCTTCTGCTTGATGAAAATGTCCTGTTTTTAACATTAATAAACCCAATCGTTTCCATCCTGATGTTTTTCCAAATTCTTCTCTAAAATAATCAGTAAGTCGATTCAATTGTTCATCATCATCACTTGTTAATTTCAATTGAATTTCCCATAATTGATCATCGATTTTCTTCACATTTTCAATTCTAAACACGGAATGCATTGAGAAAAGTATTTCATTTTCATCATGATGTTGTGTGATTTGATTCAACGAAGTGAAATATGTTGATGTTTCTACAAAATCAATTTGAATTCGAAAAAGAACAGATATTACAGATGAATTTTGTTTAATACTTTC